TTTCCTTAAAAAGAAAGTGATTTTAATCTATTAATCTATATAGAGAGCGGGCGTAGAATACACAATTTAGAGAATAGAGTACACATTTGCATTTCACATATTACCTCTATGACTAGCTTTTTATCAATCATCTTAAATTACTTTATTTTATTTTTATTTGTATATATACTCAAATTTTTAAATCCCCCATCTCTATCTCTAAATTACATTTCAATAATTTTTAAAAAATGAAACTGTTAATAATTAAAATAAACTTATATCACGATTTGAATAACTTATTTCATGTCTATTAATATATTTAGTTATTATGAATTTTAATTATAATATTATTTGTATTTTGCATAATGCACATATTAAAATAGAACCGATTCCTGAAAAATAGATTATTCTGATTCACTTTAATTTATATAAGGTGGATCGAGAATACGCATATGGAACAGAAGTATTGGAATTGAAAATTTGGAATGGGTATCCTAAAAGCCTTACACCTGGATAGTGTTGTGTGTCTTATAATGGGTAAGCAACACATCACACATGCTTTGCTCTGGTGCTATATTGCACATGCGAGGATCATGCTTCAAAACGCAGAGGTAAAAGACAAATGGTAAGTTGGGAAAGAGAAAAAGCGAATGGCTCTTTTCCACATTCATGGAGTCTAGCTGTTAAAGAAAAGTTGTAAAGTGGAGATGGCACTAACACACGCCAAGCTCCTGCTTTTGAAAATCACAATGCAATGATGGATGTGGCAGCAGAACGAACCTAACCAATGCAATTACAAATTGCACTAGCCTACCACTCTAGATCTACTTTCTTTAACTAGGGATAATAATCTTATGCAATTAAGTTATGTTCAATGGAAAATAATGTACTAGAAAGATGGATAATTGAAATGTAGTGTAGAGTGGAATTTCGTTCGAACATGAGGTTAGAGTTTAATTAGAGACTTCTTATTTCAATTTTAAAAAAATGCAAATCATACTTGAGATTTTGAAACAACTTTGTTGTTTACAAATGAGACAAATTTAGATATCAAATTTTTTAATACATGTACACTTTGTATGTTGTTATTTATTACATTAATGATCATATTTTTACATTCAAATTATATTCATATTTATATGGTTATTTTTTTATGATAATTTTTATGATTATCTAACTATGTAAGTCGAGTCATTTTTTTCATAATTAATAGTAGATTAAGACAATGAAAGAGTCACTTTACTTGAATTAACAACTTCAATAATTCTTTCACTTTCTTTATAATCTTTTTCGCATCTCACAATCTAAGGTACATAAAAAGTACAAGTTGTCTCATTAAAACAATGTTAAACCTTCCAATATAGAATACAATCTCCATTGTTTTACTAACCAAGTACAAGCAATAATAACTTATGTCTTTTAATTAAGTTATTCAAGACCTAAATATTGATCTTGGATATGAAATAAGTCATGTAGGGAGGAACATTATAACACTATAAGTATGTTAATTGTTGTTTTGTAGCAAAAAGTGTGCTTGAGGCGCTTGAGGTGTATTGTGGAGCTCTAAGAATTGAGAAAGTCTTAGGAGTCTAGTTTATTTTGAAAGTCTTTACCTAAAGGTTCGGTTGATTTATAGAAGAAGAAGTAGTATGTAAGGTTTTTGTTGAGGACTAAGCCTCGTGAATTTATGTTCTCTAAATTCTAAAGAGATAAACTAGAGAGAAGCGCTTTATGTCTGTTAATTCTATTCTTTTCTAAACTTTCTCTTGATCGAATGATTCCTTCGCCATTATCATTGTTGTGTTTTGTGTGTTGTGGTTTAGGTCATAGTAAAGTGTGAATCAGAGTGATTGGTGCAAAGCTTTCTTTGTTTGGAGCTCAGAGTTGGATTCCCTTTTCTTCAATTTTGGTTGCTTGAAGTTTATGTAAGAGAAGTTAGAACAGTTTGGTTGGTTGATTTGATGAATTGTTTGTTTTTTTGTTGTTGTTGTTTTCGTCAAATGTGAGAATGTACGTGGCTAAAATCAGATTGAATGGTGAAGGAAAAAAGTTTTGTTGTTTTGAGCTATGGAGGTGATTTTGGATGATTACAAATATTTGGGTTTGCATGCTATTATGTAGCTTATAAATGAGTTGTATGAAGTGTTTATACTTGTTGGGTGTTGTTGCATGTTTGTTGTTGTATGAAGTGATTTTGAATGATATGCTATTCTTGAATGAATGGTTGAGCATTGATATATTGTACTTGAGTTAAATGTTGAGCATTGATATACTATTCTTGGTTGAGGTGTTAAGTATTGGTATGCTATGTATATGATTGATATAATTTGATCTTTATATGCATTGACTTGGTGTAATTTATGTAAATGGTGTATGTATATGTGTTGATGCTAAGAATGTTGTGGACATTAAAGCATGATGATTGACTTAAGACTAGAGGAAAAGATGTTGTTTTGAAAGTTGAAGATCCCGTATAGGAAATCTTATTTTGGTGCTCTAGAAGGCCAATTGTTGAAAATCTTACCTGAGTAGGTGTGAAACTCTCAGATTATATTTTGTTGAGTCTCCTCTAGAACCTTAATTAATGAGGAGTAAAGTTTGTAGTCAAGGGCTACCACCCTTAACTGATTACTGAAAAGTTGTGTGGTTCCTTAAATATAGCTAGTGGACTAACTCCATAATTGATTTAATAATGCATGTCAAGGTCGTAGTATACTTATACCCAATTATACTAGTCCTGACAGTGGAGCCAAACTTTTCTAGTGTGAGTGACAATATCCAAGAAATCAGATGAGAGATTGGTATCTCGTTTTAGTTGTCAATCTAGTAGGTGTATTGGGCGTGAAAACGATAAGGCCAAGCCACTTAAATTGTTTATCTGTGTTAAATAGACACATTGGTGTGAAAACAACCGGGTTGGTTCAATATAATCAAATCACTTAGACTACTCATGCGTGTTAGAATATCTTCATAGATAAATGTTTGATGACACATTAGTTGTGGTGTGTGCATGTGATGTGATGTGAGTTGATTATTATTTATATGCATCGGATGAATACCTTGTCAATAACAATAACACATTACAAAGAAATTTGTAATAACTAAGTGTGTTTGAGAATCAATTGAATTGAACTTAATGAAGTTAAAATAAAATTACATTTACAAGATTTTTTTTCATCAAAATGCATTTTTTTTCCTCATTGAATGTAATTTTGAAATAGTATCTAAATATGCACTAGAAGTGAAAGTTAGCAATTTGATTTTGAGATTCCAACAAAGTAGGGAAATCACAATCAAGAGAATAAAAAAAGTCAGATAAATTATGTATAACGAAAAAAAATTAGAAAGTTTTAGATAAACTTTGTTTATGATTTTATGTGAACCTTTCATGTTCAAATGAAAAAATAAATTTTTCTAAAATTTTGCGTAAATTTTTGCTGATGAAAAATCATTTACCAGTTAATTAGTTGTTCGTAATTAAATTATTTTCTATAATATTTTTTACAAATAATTAAATATTTTTTATATTATATAAATTAAATAATATTTTTATTGATATGTTGTAAGATTGTGGTTCTAGGCAGTTTGTCTTTCCAATCCATTATTCACTTATTCATATACTATATATAATTTTATACTAATTTTTTTTAATAATATTTTTAACCTCTATATTATATTTTTCTTTTCTTATTTCATTATTTGTTATACGATATATTTTTTAATATATACGAATATAATTTCTCATACAATATTTCCACTTTTTCCCTTAAGAAATTATTTGGGAAAAATGCAAGTCATTAAATTTGTGCTATTGTTAAATCACCAGTGTAATATATGATTCTCAGTAAGAATGCCATAGTAAAATTGTGTGATATATCATGCTTGTAAAAAGTTGGACTAATTCCGTGATTGGTCTTACATTTTTAAGGGTGTGACCAAAAGGAATCGACACACCTTTCGAAATCTACGTTTTTAAATATTTCTGAAAGGTCTGCTTCAATTCATCGAACTTGGGTACCAATTTCAAGTGAAATTTAACCGACATATATAGATGAGTGTTAATAGTATTTTTCTAATACATTTATTTAAATTATTATTAAAATTTAGTAAAAGGTATAAAGTATGAGAGGAATTTACAAAATAAAAACTAGAACTTGTAAAAAAATTAATTTTAATAAATTTAACTAAAAATAAATAATATTTAAAAGAATATGTTAAAAAATGTGATATGTTATTTTTTATATATAAAATCTTATGTGTATGATTGACTAGAAATTCTGACGACTCCAAATTTATTATACACAATGCTTAAAGAATACTCAGCCATGCCCGCGAAGCTGCATGTGAATAATTGATAGAAAACAGATTTCAGTAATGCATGAGGGTACAGACAAAACTTCTCCGATCGTTTTGTAGTAAAATATGCATTGTATTTGTATGGGAAAATAATGGGTCCAATGCATCTAATGGTCTAAATGCCACCTTTTATCATTGAGACAAAATATTATTTGTACAAATAAAAATAAACTTAATATTCGTGTTTATTTATTATTATTTTTTTTTTGTGTGAAATGTTCGTGTTTAACTATCACATGCGTTAGCTTCTCTAGTATATTTTAACAATATTTATATTTTTCTATAATATATATCATTGCTCTTACTTTAATCATTTTAAAACTAAGCTAACATTCTATTATACTACTATTATTATTATTATTATTATTATTATTATTATTTTAATTTTAATTTTATAAAACGCATATATAATATTAAAATTATGTATAATTAATTAGATATAGTTCATATTGTCAATATAAGAGTTTTTCACAATGTTATAGAATCATATATTATCGTGTAGTAAATTTATTAACTTTTATAATAAATATTACTAATACCGTATAAAAGTCATATTAGTTGACTGACGAAAAAATTTATATTATATGGAAATAAAATTATTTAATTAATACTACTTCAACTAACACAAAAAACTATGTAGCCTTCCCACATGTCTGAGGTGCGACTAATGAGTAATGAACACTTGGAAAACGACATCCCGTTTCATCAAATAGAACCCTCGAGGCGTGGACGACGTAGCGCGCAAGCGAATCCCGCAAAAGGGGGAAAATAACGACCTATATAAATTAGGGTTTTTCAAAATCAGGTATAGACGAACCGGTGTGCGGGATTGGAACTTGATGGATACGGAAGAAGTAGGGCATCGAAAGGGAACAAAGGTGGAATCATTGATTGAGAAGGCCACCAACACCACCGCTCCGGAGGTCGATCCCCGCCTCCTCAAGGCCATCAAGGCGGTGGTTCGCTATTCCGATTCGGAGCTCCGTTTCGCTACCCAAGCCCTTATGGATCTCATGAAGCGTGACCACTCTCAGGTACACTTTTAAATTTTAATTATGGTCAATTGAATTATTAGTGTTTCACTTTCTTTTATGCTGATTTCCATTGAATTATGCATCATTAAATTACATTTTTAATGAAAAGCTTGTTTCAAATGACAATTCCTCAGGGAAATTTGAATATTATTTAGTCCTATTATGATTGATGCTATAAGCGTGATGATACGATGAAATTTAATTCATATTGCTAAGTTGAAAAACAAAAAAAACCTGCCCTCATTAGCTCAACCCCTATTTTAACTTTCAGATTACGACTGTCATCTGCAACACAAAGTCCTCAGATTGACCTTGACAGATATGTGTTGCAGGTCAGGTACCTTGCGCTTCTAATAATTGATGAACTCTTTATGCGTTCGAAGCTCTTTAGGACCCTTGTTGTTGAGAACTTGGATCAGTTACTGAGTTTGAGTGTTGGGTTCAGGCGAAATTTGCCACTTCCTGATCCACCGGCTGTTGCATCTGTTTTGCGTTCGAAGGCCATTGAATTTTTGGAGAAGTGGAATGTGACGTTTGGGGTTCATTACAGACAGCTCAGATTAGGTTATGATTACCTGAAGAATACTCTCAGGTTTCAATTTCCTAACATACAAGCTAATGTGGAGCGGATTCAGCAGGGGGGA